CTTGAGTTGGAATCGATTTAACGTCGTTTCTGGGTACTTCCGCACAGGTCCGTCCACTTTATATACGACTTAAAGGCGGGAAGGTCTGAATATATGCAATCGATAGTCCCACTAAAGGTATGTAAATGTAGATAGACAAATTCATTAAGGATTCCCTGCACCTCTGTTATGTTTCTATACAATGTTGAGCCTTTTGGCTCTAACCAGAATCGACGGTATCAATTTTATACGGTACGTGGCTGGTTTGCGCCAGACATAGACGACGCACTGTAGTTCATTAAATATGGCGGCTATAGGCTACGCTGGAGATAAAGGTCTTCAAGGTTCGAGGTTTTTTGACCATAAATTACTTTATGTTCCATGAACTAAATGACATTTTTCGAAATGATCAAGACGAGATGTGTATTTATGGATAAGGTACTACCAAAATAAATTTGAAGCCAAACAAAAATGGAAACCTCTAAACATCGAACTTTACAATAGGTTCTCTTATTTTCTAACGTCCGAGTCGTGTAAAAGTTCCAAGTCGATCGGATGCACCGTCGACGGAGAGAATCAGATAGGGTCAAGAAAGAGGGTGGAAGGGGGTATGCTTAATGGCTACACCTTTTTCTGCTGACTTTCTACGTAGTTCAGTGTTCTCAGCTTTCCCTTTATAGCGCGAGCTTAAATCAAAAGATATTAGAGGAAGGACTTCATTATATTTTTGCTACACCGTAAGTAATATCTTAAAATTAGCTTTTTTCTTGTTTCAGGAGCACCTTAACTGGTATCTTGGTTTGAAACAAGTTGCAACGGGACTATTCCACTATGGGCTTGACACTATACCAAACTAAACACAGTGGATTTTAAATACATCTCGTTAACCTAAAACGATCCAAAAAGGAGAAAATTAGGTAGCAGGTAAAGTTGACACTTTTCTTGAAGTATTACCAACCACCCCCCTCCTCACATTGTTGAACGTTCTAATAGGCACCAGTAATGAGGAACATAAATGAAATAAGGAGGGTTACACTCAATTCTAGACGATGTGCTATAGTGATATCTATTGAAATTCGTATTGATGACAATTGCCGATTAACACGTAGAAAACGTATCATTATCCCTACACAATGTCGAGACAAACATAACCGTTCTAGCGTTCTTATAAACAATAATTCAAAACAACAATTGAATCATACCACGAATGCACCGGGTTTCGCGCAGCCACTCATATATGGCCTCAGTTACCGAACAAGTTGGATATAGTGGTGGATCCAAATGTGATGAAAAAGTTTGACGATGAATTGAAAACAATTAAAGATAATTTTAATCAAGAGTTGAAAAGGTCAAACGAGATTTATGAAAAGAAAATGATTCAATTTCGCGAAGGTTGGGGCAATTAATATCGTAACAAGTAAAAATCCAACAGGAAATGATCACCGGTTTGTCGGCTAGCATTATTTCGACCATCATGCCAATGGGAGCCAGTGTTCTCCAAATAATGTCGTCAATCATTCAAATCCTTCAGAGCAATGAACAAAATGAAACACTGAAAAATAATTTAAATCGAATGTCACAGCAACTACTCATCGAAAACAATAAATTTTTCGAATATCACACTTCAATTCAAAAGCATCAAAAACAACTTACGACACTGATTGGGAAATTAACAGCAGCTTCAATCGAGGGAATGGACTTACTCTTTTGCTCAAATGAATAATACGACATTCAGGTATTCTGATCCGCGTGTAAGAAAAGACATTATTAACAAATATGATGGCTCAGTGAGTGAAAAAAACACCCTTAGTCAGATGTGCACCGAATGGAACTCTAGAAAATGCATCTCTGATCTTTGTCGATTATGGAAGAAGAAGAGACCGGATAAGGTAGCTAAAAATTTATGTTTATTAAATTTTAATGTGGAAGGATTAAGTTCTCATCTAGCTGATGTGGATATTCTACTATCAACGTATACTCCCCAAATAGCCATTCTTACTGGTGTGGGTGCACTCTTGAGAAATCTTCCTCCTATACCAGGATATCGTTGGCTGATGCAGTCTGGGACGAACAGCTTTGGGAGCGTGGCTGTGCTAGTTCATCACACGCTTCAAACAAAAACTGTCAATACTGGCACCAATTATATTTTATTTGAATTAGAAGTAATCCCTAAACCAGTCCTGATTGGTGCTGTATATGTACCTCCAAATACAAAACCTCCCTTTCCGGTCTCACAATTCAACAAACTCGTATAACAAATGAGACTGAAATTGTTGATGCTCTAGCAAACTACTATGAGAAGCATTTTGAAGCACCGGTATTTGACATCAACAATCCAACCCACACTAAAGCTGATGAGATATATAAACTAGTTGGACATATGCCAAATATTCCGTTGGAACCGATTAAAATGGACGAAGTTATTAAACAGTTTAATAAATTAAAATCTAAAAAGTCTTTAGATAGTACGGAAACGTCTGCTTTTCTGCTTAAAAAAATCCCGTACGAATATCTTCAAACATTATCGGTTCTATTTAATAAATGCGCTGAAAATGGAACCTTTTTTAAAAAGAGTAAACATGCAAAAATAATTTGCCTTTCTAAAGACGGTATATACCCGGAGGCAAATAGAATGAGACCTATCTCGCTATTACCAAACATAAGTAAATGGTTTGAGCGCATTGTCCATGAGCGTATAATGAAATGGCGTGAACGAAAAGGAATATATATTGATGAACAATCGCCGGGTAGGAGATTACAAACAAAAATCCTATCACTATGTGAGGATTTAAGACTTACAACTGCTGCCTGTAATCGGCCAGCATTAGTTATTTTTGTCGATTTTTTATCTGCGTTTGACAAACTTTGGTATCCG